ACTGCATAGCGCAAAATTTTTGAGGGCTGTAAATTTCGTGGATTTTGTGATTTTTTGAAGAATTATGAAAATTACTTCCGCTAAACTCAAAATTATTAGGGCACAAGATGGCAGACAGTATAAATTCACGAAAATTGCATGTATATCTGTAAAATGGATTTTTAGGTGAATTTGCAAAATTTACAGCCCTCAAAAATTTTGCACTATACGGTACATGTATATACATGTATTTATAAGCAGTTAATTATATGTACATGTACTTCTTACTTTAAGGGGTCTTTTGCTCAGCATTAGCAAGCATTGAAGAAAAATTATAGAAACAGTCATCATACAATGCACATACACACATACATGTACATGTTTTAACTATATAATTCTGCCTTATAATGTAGGGTATTCAATACAGCCAGTCGGTCATAATCCAGGTATGGATAGTAATAGAGTAGTTACATGTACATGTAGCTTATGCATTTTTGTTGTACATATAGGTCTCCATTATCTTGAGCAGAGAATTGATCAAGTTTCAGAGCTACAAAGAATTGCTGACAGATTGCAAGCAAAATATGGGTTACTTGTTATTGCAGTAAAAAGATCACTCAAAGACCATTGTGTTAATGTCAAAGATGCCAAATTTTTGGTAAAAGAATGCTTGAAGAGAAAAGCTCGTGTTGTTTCTGAGTTAATGCCTTGCATCAATGATCTTGATAAGCTTAATAATTTTGAAAGTTTTTTTGATTTTCTAAGCAACTATGATTTTATTGGTTACCTTAATTATAAGTTACTGAAGAAATTATCTCTACTTATTGATGATAATACAGTCAACCAACTTTTTTTTGAATACGAAGAAGAATATGCAAGATTACTAAGTGCAACTTCCTTTCAAGATTTGATACCTTTCTTCAGGGAACAATCTGACCTGTCTCCTAATGCTCCTCTTGGATTACCTTATATTTCATTTCGTCTTCAAAGACCTTCGCTATTTGCTAGCATTTATTCCTGGATCTCAACCTTCGGTCAATTTTCATGGTCATATTATGCTTTTCTTAAACAATTAAGGGAGAACTGTATTATTATCACTTATGCTATACTACCTTGTGTTCTTGATGATGTCATGAGAGATCTCACGGATCCAGTAATATTGAAAGAGCTAAAGGAAAAAGAAGTTACTGTAATTGAATTGCCACAAGAAGGTGAGGCGTCAGTTTAGTAATACACTTTAAAACTGTACAATTCTTTTTTATACATGTATTTACAGTAGATTTTGAGACCAATGAAGATGGCAATTCTTCAATCATGCAAACCACATCATCCGAGGGAAAGATTCCCACCACAAATACCACCACAAGTACTACTACTGCTTTGGTAGGTAGCACTTTAATGCATGTACAATGAATCATGCATGCACATAATATCTAATTACTAGCCCTGTCTACATGTACATTGTACATGTAACATGTGCATGTACATGTACATATCTAGGCTATAGCCTTTTTTTAGGCTACATGTCCATGTAGGATTGAGGTTGATTTTCAAGATGGTAGCTGTTTTTAAGTATACTTGTTGCCTTATGTTTTATAGCCTTACTTGTAAATGAGCTCTCCACTATGAGTGATCCTCTTAGCCACATGTAGTACATATACATGTACGTGTACCTTTAAAGTGCACTGCAATGTGGTCTAAAATCCAAATTTCTCCAAAAAAATACCTTTAAAATTTTTTTTAATCAGTTTGATTACTTTCATGGAGGCTTAGGTTGGTTTTAGCACTGGAGCCTTGAGTCAGTAGAGAAATCATAGATAAAAAAGTTAGCAGAAATTCCTGGTGTACAATCGCTCATAAGCAAGCTTGTAGTTTTATGCTATTTTAATTTATGCTTACATCATCCTATATAATTAATGTGCAGTAAAAACATTTTAAATTTGCTCAAGAATTGGGCCAAAGACCCTCTTTAGCCAAGTTTTGTCTCCATTTCTATTATTTTCCTGATACATATTCATGTACATGTACATGCACTTATATGTTGTGTAGAAACTTTGAGCTAATTTTGATTAAAGTTGAATTTTTTTACAAATTTTTAAAGTTGCTCAAAAATCAGGGTATTTTAGCTATGAGAAAATATCCCATTTGTATTGCATTTTTTGATGTAATATACATGTACGTATTGACTAAGTCTACAATAATGTTAACTAATTATTATTTGCAGGATAATGAATTATATGAAGCTACTGCAAAAGATGATTCTACTGGTGTCCAGTCTGCACTGTCTCAAGGAGCTAATGTAGACTATCAGGATCCTAAAGAGGTAACTACTGCAGTATATGCATACATGTACATGTACAGCATGCTGTTATGTTGACATGTACATATATTTTGTGATGTCATTACAAAATTCCCAACTGAGTTTGACACCAGTTTGACACCAGCCGCTTGGAATTTGAAAAATGTAGGTATACATCACTGATGATGTCTTATAATTTTACAGCTGTGTAGTTGGCCTGTATTGCACTCTTAAACGGGCTTTGTTTATTCTGATAAGCAGTACAATAGCTGCTGGAGTCAACTAGTCTTTATGCAGGCAATCATTATCAGAAGATCAGTCTACATGAAGGCCCTACACAATTGTGAACGGGTCCTCTATGGCTTCACTTCCTGATACGTCACTGATAAAATGATATTCATTGCCAATGGCTTATGAATATAATTAAAATCATTCGAAATTTGAACCACGTGTAGCTGATAAGCTGATAATTAGGCAATTTCTGAAAAACATAGCAACTTTGAGGGGAAATTTACCTGAATAAAATAAGACCCAGCAACTGAGGAGTCTCACAATGTATTAAGCAAAGGTAAGTACAGTACCAGACCCTTTGGCAAAGGCCCAGCACCCCTGTGAATGATTTGCACAAAATCAAAGTTGCTTTGTGGCTAAAAAGTGAAGATGGTGGGTGTGCAAATAGATGTGTATTTCCTAAACAGAAGCACAGACGAAGCTCATTTTTAATAATAGCAAGGAGGAGAGTTGGTTCTATCTGTATATGGTAAAATAAGGAGAACAGCTCTTGTATATCAAGGATTTTAGGTCGCCTAATTATGACCAAGTTTACAGGACTTTTTCTACAGCTACATGTAGCTGTGGCTGTGATTTGCCTCTATCAAAGCTTGTGGTTAATAAGAAAGCCCATACATCTTATACTGTGCAGTACTACATATTCCCAGTAGTGCTACATTTTCCTACCATACCCATTATTGAAGTTGTAGCAGTGGAGGCGCCTTTGATCCGCCCACACACCATGCTACAAATGTACATGTAGAATGGGTATTTTCCACAGTAGGATAATTTTGCCAATTAAAAAAAATAATTTGGCAAAGAGACTTTTTATCCCATTATACCTTATGATTTTTAGGTACATGTACATATACAGTTTATTTGCATGTGTGAAGTTAGTAGTTTATATTATATGTGCATGTACATGTACTGTATTCATGTACTGTGCATGTACATTGTACATGTAGTTATACACCATATATACCAATTTTTTTTGCAAATTTTGCCGTTTCATGCTCAGTTGCGAAATTTTTCCACCGAAAAATTCTACATTTCGATTGTCACATGGTGCAGTCTGCAAGCTACACGTATTCATAAAATTTTAGAAATGCAAGATTCGCAAAAATTTTATATTGTGTAAATAAACTGGTATACAGTATTCTTGTTGAGATTTGACTGAGAACTTTCTCTGTGTGGGTAATTCCATTTTCAAAATTCATATCATTCCTTCCTCAGTATTCTAGCCCTTATCTTTTGAAATATTCTCATGAAGGTATAGACTCCTATACTTTTTGACACACTGAAACTGTGTCCCAGTGTCAAAAGGGAAGGGTCTGACTTCACAAGACTATACCTTTAAATTCCGTTCAGCGGCAAATTTTGGAATTTGGTGAATTGCTTAATTTTGGTGGTTGGCAAATTTTAATATGGCCAATTTGTGGCTACATGCCTTTGAGCATGTGCATAATGGCCCAAAGTGGCGGATTTTTATTTTGGTGAATGGCTATCAAAATGCCGAATTTTCCAAATTTAATTCCCTTCAAAATTTCTCGCCATACTGTATTATGTTTAAACTGCAATTTGTAATGCCATACTCTTTTAAAATGTTATTATTTAAATTTTTTTGCAATTGCAACATTACAAACTAACCTATCCTTGTTA